GAGCAGATAGATAAACTGAGAACTTCGTGAGAGAAAAAGAATTAACAAACCCTCTGGTGCAATGTTAAAATCCTTTCAGATGTTCCTTTTTTTAATAAAAAAAAAGAGAACCTTATATCCTCATGACATTTAAATCCGGTTTAAAGTATAATGTACTTAAAAATCAGCTAAAACCTTCCCAATTCCATTATATTAAGACTGTATTTGAATAAGTAGTGGATATGCAACGAAATGTATTTCTCCAGTAATCTTCAAGAAGGGAGCCGTTTAACATTTAAATACTGCGGATTAGAGGAAGAGGTATTTATTCCTCGACGCCTAATGAATCTGATCTTAATAATCGCTCGTCGAGCTTCATTGATCGCCGTTTCAGAGAATCCATTTTCCTATAATTTGAAGGAAGATATCTTGTTTCGCGTAATTAAGGCGACTCCTAAAGTAATTAAAGCCATTATCGTTACCCGAGAGCAATGAAAATACAGAAAACTTCATCAAAATGAATATTTAAATACCCTTAGTGTTTCAGTTGTGTAAAATAAAAAGGATTATAAGTGACAGTTTTTGAGAAGCTCATATAAAATATTCATTTTGTTGACGTAGAAATAAATAAGAATTATATATTTTTATAATAGCCGTTCTGTGTGTCTGAATGAGTAAAAATAGCTATGCAAAAAATAAAACGCTTTAAAGAACTAGTTTTGTAAATAGTAAAGAATGTCTTCTTGCTCGATTATTTATTTCCTTTCGCTTTCCTTGTTTGCATTTCGTCATTATTCGGGTAGTTCAGGCACTTCGTTGTAGAAATAAATTACTACAAGTAGTCCTTCACGTACGTTGGTACGTTGGCATTATTTTCCAATTTTAAAATGGTCAGATAATACCCGAACTAGCGTAAGCGAACCTAAGTTAGGTAGATGAAAAGTATATTTCCATAACTTCTGGCTAATAATACATGATACCGTCAGATACATGAAGCATACGAAAAGAAAGTCAGCTAATAACCAGACACAGGTAACTCCTGCATATATATTTGTACTCTAATAAATGAAATTTGGCACCTTCTTCAAAAATTCTAATCTTGTTAAATCTTAAATAAATGCTGATGTCCCAGTGTCTTCTTTTGGCTGTTCTCGAGCCTGAAGAGACGATAGATAAATAGGTGATCTTTGTACTGTAGCATTCCCATCATATAGTAGGCATTAATTTATGTGCGAGATCATGCAGAAATAGTACTAGTATCATAGAACAGTCATTATTAGGCAGCATACAGTTGTCATTAATATAATATCGTAACACCTTCAGCTATTTTCTGTCAACCATCCCGAAATTCTCGAAAAGTTATTTTCCAAAGATCACTTAGCAGTTCTCTGGATAGTTGAACTTGGCCTGTAACCCGTGACGTTCTCAAGTCTTTATTTTCTTTCATGATGAAAGAACATTATTTCGTTCCTGAGAAAAGCTGGAGCGTGTGTGTCCTTCGTCCAAAATCCCATGCATCTGTTTATAACTGTTTTGTTGTGCCTCGAATGCCTGTCACCGACCAACTCGGATTGAGCCGAAGATTTATCGTGAAAATTTTTCCAGGCCAGTCAACGTCCTCAAACAATCAAGGTGTTCTCGCCAACTGAGAAACGCTCTTAAAATTTCGGCCCCTAAACAATCGAGACCAAACAATTGAGGGCCTCAAACAATCGAGGAAATTTCCAGACCCTCAAACAAACGCTCTGAAACTTTCGGGCGAATAAGAATTCAGAAAGTCGTCCTGACACGCCCAGGAAAACTTGAAATGAAAAACAGTGAACGCAGTACCAAAGAGAGAGTTAGTAAACTACTCAAAGGTTTTAGGAAAAAAAAAAAAAAGAGAGAGAGAAACCCCCTTTATTGTATTTTCAGCTCTATCAAGAACAATTTTTATTCGCTCTGTCAAAAGTATTCTCATCTCTCTGTGGAACGATTCAGTAGCTGGTAACTGGAATTTTCTGCTACCTACTCGAAAGTAATCTACTCGGCACGGCCAGCTGCGGCCACAACAAGGCTTTTTGCCTTACATAGGAACTTATACCCTGCATCAAGAAAAACTCTCTGAGAACGTCCATGTAACGGAGTGGAACTTCAGCCGAATTGATGCATCATCTAGTTTTTGGTTTTATATTTTTATTCCTTTTCCGATGAGAACATTATCTCATAAATTATTTGCAGAATAGCTAAGAATTAGAATCTTAAAGAAATTAATTGCGTTACCTCCTTGTTTCAACTCGCCATATATCATTATCAGTAATAGTATCATACACCACTCATTAATATCATCATCAATATTAGCACCATACAGGTCTCATCATACAAAAGTTCTTACTATCATCATCAGTATTAGTATAATACCACAGTCATTAATATAGTACTTGCGAGATGGCACCGGAAAAATTGGTTGCTATCTGTCAGATATACACTAACAAACGGTAAAGCCAGTAACTCAAAACTAAATTACAGAAGCTGGGAAGCTTCTGACGTTCTTTGATAGCTTGTGTTATTCTGCTGCTTCAATATCAAATCGGTATACGCCATTCAAATCCCATCAGATATTTTTTAATCCTAACCTGCTGTCTTTCAGCATACTTGCTTCAGCAATGGATACCCTGTTCTCCAGTTCTGTTTTTACTTCCAATACAGTATTCAGTAAATAAAATATATATCTTACGGTGAAACACCGAAATCTGGAGAATGTCGACTTTCACCGGTGAATGTCAACATTCACATAGTCGCTTGGCGCATGTCCGAAATATTTTCCAAATACTCTTATTTCTGACTTACACCGGTAAATGTCGACATTCACCATGTGCTAATGGTGAATGTTGAACATATAAGAATATTATATTTTCTTCTCCGTAATTCAGTCTCGAAAAAACGCACTTGAGACTTAAAATGAGAACTTAAGAATATAAGAACTTAAAACACACAGTACATTCAAAATGAGAAAGGAAAATAATAGAAGTTAAAAACTTACTAAATTATGTGATTCAAATTTTATTTACTGCAACAACTTAAACTATTAGGATACTTTGAATTTGCACAAGAGGTCCTTGCTTTTACAACTGCATTTATTTGTGGAACACTTCCTTTTGCAATGACAGCACGTACATATACTCATCTCTTTTCGACCTACACCAGAGCATATCTGTGATTGTCGACATACACCAGTGAGGGTCCGAATGTACAAGAATGTAATGCAATATTCGATCTTTCACCAACGCATTTGGTGAATGTTGACATTCTCCGGTGAAAATCGACGTTCTCCAATTTTCACGGTAACATATATATGTATTGGACACTTCGTTACAATGCAGACTTTGCGTTATTTCTAGTCCAAAGGCGCTTTGTCCCTGAAGGACTATTGTTTTCGTTTTGCGATTTCGCGTTGAATTACTCTGAATGTCCGTTTCACTTTTCAAACTATTGCCACCAAATACTATCGCCCTGTATTATATTTGAAAAAATTAAATAATGAAGAATCTGCATAAATCTATGTATGTTTCTTGCATCGTGATAAAACAACGGTACCTAGAGCCATCCAATTTTGAATGACGTAATCCTACTGCGAATATGGGCATCTGGAAGACCAAATTTGAAATTTGTTTTATTATCGGTTTCATATTTTGTAAAACTTTAACGAATTTTTTATTAACACACTCAACGATTTAAAAGAGAGCAATGGCACCACTCTACGGGAGGGAAAAAAAACTTTTTATCTCCAGCGCCCGGAACTGTGTATGGAAATCCTAAAGATATGCTTATTTTATAATTATTTTGCGACACTGCTGTTGAACTGAATTTTATGGCTTAAGTGATAACACGATATTTAATAAATAAAGGTAGAACACAAAACGATAAAAAAGTGCCCCTTTAGACGTAATTTAAAATCTGAAACCTTTCAGATTTTTGTTTTGTTTTTTCTTTGTTGTTTTCTGTTGTAAATCCCCTAAGCACATTTAATGGATCTAGGTACATTCAGATATTCACATAAGATACCTAAGCACATTCAGATATTCACATAAGATACCTAAGCACATTCAGATATTCACATAAGATACCTAAGCACATTCAGATATTCACATAAGATACCTAAGCACATTCAGATATTCAGAGAGTCACATATTTTTTACTTATCAAAATTAAATATTCAAGTTAAAGATCCATTTGATTTATCAAGATTATCAGCAGAAAATAATAAAGTAAATATTTAATTTGTCATTTTAGTTCCTTTCTGTATTCCTTGCGCAGGTATAGTTTTTAATAAATAATCGTTTCCAAATTAAACATTGTTAATAAAAATTCGCATTTTCATTAAAAATGTCTTTTATCGTTACCCATCAATAGCCTAACGGTTAAAGTCGTAAAACACTGCTAATTCGTCTGCAGTTTATTCCTGTTGGTTGAATAAGCTAGACGTATAAGATTTCCAAAAATGTAACATAACCGAAAATTAGTTTTTTACAGAAAGTCCTCCATAAAAGCATCCATGGGTCTCTTACTTATCAGGCAGAAAGAAATGGTACGCTTTGCTCTTGTTTAGTCTAAACTTGTTGCTTCTGAACTATAAAACGTAACCCACGTTCCAAGAAATTAATAAATTAATGATTTTAATAATTAATAAATTATTTTTAAATATTTAAGGGAAAATTTTTTAATAATTCTTTTCCGTCATCGTAAATACTGCTGTTTACCTTCTCTTGAACTTTTGCAAATATATTGTTTATTTAGCCAATAAAATTCCATTGCCAACTTTGCAGTAAATAAAGCATTTAGATCTACTTAAAGACACCATCACTTCTTCATTTCTTCTCAGAATTTGACGCTTTTCTGAATAACTATGTCCAGTTGTTGTACGGAAGTAAAGGAGTGGGTGTCCGTTACCATAACAACAACAACGAGCAGATGTTATTGGGCACGAAAGGCGCTGCTATTTCAAGGTCTAATTTATCACCGGCTCTTTTTCAACAGACGATCGTAAGATTTTCACAGTTCGTCCGGGTGTGCCGAAGCTAAGAAAAATATCGCTTTTGCTTTTCGTGGAACTACTGTGTACAGGCAGTGGGTTCTTTATCCGGACTTCAATATGTGTTATTATGCTTAAAATATATTTATTAGTGTGAATTAAGATTGTCGATCAGAAGTTTGCAAAGTGAAGATTATTTTAAAAACTGCATTGCTACGAGCGAATTTTGAGATCAATTTGTATTGTCAAAAAGTGGCATTCTCATTAAATATTGCTTTGCAGTTTAGTGAATCTTGGTGATAAGTAAGGGAAAGTGATCAGTTCTTACTATCAGTTTATTATAGAATTTTGTTTCATTTCATTTTTAATTTTTCTTTATTGTGCACTGCTGTGACCTTTTATTCAGTCTGGTCTTGAAACGTTACAGTTTTTTATCAATAAACTCATTAGCCTCACATCTCTTTTCAGGAATGTTAAATTTGTAACTATATAATTACAGTATTTTCCAGTAGGTATTTATGATTCATTTTCTTACATTAATTATTTGTAAGGATATGAAGCAGGTTTTTCATTTAGTCAGAAATTATCTGATGGACTAAATTTATATCGATTTTACATGAATATGTAAAGGGAAATTGACTGAAACTTAAGGCTGTAGCATATACATAAAGAATGGAAGAAAACAAACAAGAAAAATCTGAAACTCAACCTGAGTCGCTTGTTAGTAGGATATGTGGAGCCGCAGCGCTTGAAAGGTAAGTTCTTATTTGCTTTCATTACCGTCTTTGAGAAGACATTTCAGCAATGGATTTTTTATCATTGTTTTGACTGATTCTGTTTATCTTCAAGTTTTCTCTTTTTATAACTAACCTGTTCTTTCTGATTTCTTTCACATATAATAAATTACAAATAAATTTTGTGGTCATTTGTTAAACTTTACATATTTGCAAGTAATATAGCAATTGTAATTATTAAATATGCGGCTGTAATTTTTTTTTTTTTTCCGAAATGGCAAACTTTTGAAACCTGATCAGCAACTTAGGCCTTACTTTTAAATATCCTTTTTAATTTTAAGATATTTTTCAGCTATTATTAAGTTAATATTCACTTAACAGATGTAATTTTTATTTTTTGATTCCATTCGCGTTTGGACAAATGTGAAACAACCGTATCATTAAAATTTAAATTCAAGGTTATATAATTCAAGATCATTTATGACATTAAAAATCTAGTTTACAGCATAAGCCACCTAAGAGCTTTCTGCTTAAAGAGACTACTTACTGGGAGAATTTTCAGAAACAGAACTGAACGATAATTTTGAAAAATTCTGATATTTAACAAAACGGAATTTATAACAAGGAATTTTACTTTTCACGTTTGGATTTTCTTTGAAGATTTTGAACAGATAAATGCATTATTTGCTTTTATAATGTACATTTTGTTTCTCGTATAAATTAACTGGCGAATCCAATAACTGTTAGAATTGTTAAAAAATAATAGAAAAAAAAGTATCTGAAAGCTTTCAGATTTTATATTACGCCCAAAAGGGCGTTTTTTTAACGTTTTGTGTGTTACCTTTATTTATTAAATATCATGTTCTTCTCACTTAAATTACATTAAATTCAATTCAACAGCAGTATCACCAAACATTTAAAAAATGGCATAGCTTTAGAATTTCTAATACACAGTCTCGCGTTACTGGAGATAAAATGTTTTTTTCCTGCACAGTGTTGCAATTGCTCGCTTTGAAATCGTTGCGTTTGTTAAATAAAAATTAGTTTAAATTTTGCAAAATTTGAAATAGATAATAAAACAAACTCGAAATACAAAATTCGGGCTTTGAAATCCATGTTCGGTTGGAGGTCTACGTAATTCAAAATTTGATGGCTCTAGAATGCGAGAAATATTCATGCAGATTCATCATTGCTTCAACAATTTGAAAATTGTTTCAGCACTTTTTGTGATTCGACGAAAAATGTTTCAAGCCTAATTTCTGGAGTAACCCCCCATTGTATTACCCATCGTGCTTTCAGAAGATTTCTGCAATATTATCGTATCTTAGTGCAACTTTAAGTAAAGAATATAGTTAAATTAGCCAGAATTCTTAAACAAATGAATTCTATCTTAGCTTTTCAGTTTTTAAGATTTATTAAATTTAAGTACATGTTTTTCAAAGGAGGGAAAGTTAACTATTTTGTTATTAGTAGAGAAAACTGCTTTCTTACATATGTCTTAACTCACTGCTAAATCTATGGTGAGCATTTTAATCCGGCTTCAAGAAAGGAAAGAAGAAATTCTGGAAAACAATTTGCTGAAGATTTTTAAAGCTTGTAATACGTAATTCTAAAATTACCCGAAGAACTCATTTAGAAAAGCAAATCGCGTTGCAAGCAAAAGGGAATAAAAAAAAATATTTCAAAGTTTTTATAAGGTAGAATTTATAAATAAATAAATAAATAAATAAAAATAAAAAAAATAAAAAAACCGCTAAGTTGCGTAAAGAAGAAATTTCAGAAAACAGATTGTTAGAGATTTTTCAAGTAAGTTATAAAAACAGAGTGTTAAAGCTCGAAAAAAAAAAGGGAATTTGGAGCAATAAAATGCTAATTCTTTTTTATAAGGAAAAAAATAGGAGGTGAATTTAAAAAATAAACTTGAGTTTTATCTTTTTCTGACCAATATGACACACCAAAATGATACTTATAGTGCAGGTTCTGATAAAGGCTATGTCAGAGTCCTTAAGAGATGTAATTGAACATGAACTTAAGATGCAAAATGTAACTGAACAATTCAAGTATTAGTGAAGTGAATGGCAACAGAAAAGATAGATAAGACGAGACGAACATCTCCTTATCATTAGCATAACCTGTTCACCTAAATCAAATCTTCACACTAAAATGGTATCAATAGGTGTTATCTTATCCTTTAAAATTTTAAAGGATGAAGCTGAAATCTGAATCCACGGCTAAATCATATCGCATTATCTTTAGAATTTTATCTAATGGCTTGGAAATATAGACTTCTGAACTCTCGAAACCTTTGTAAATAGAAAAAAAAAATGAAATATAAAAAACTTTACATAGGATTTAAACTTTATCAAGAGTATTTAAAGTATATTTAAAGTAATAACAGTTTTAATTTTTTTAAATTCTATGGTATTTTTAATTTCAATTTGAGTTTACCATACATTTATTAGCCCCAAAGTCTCGTACCTTCACTAGTCTCGAAATTGCGTTTACTATAAACGGCGTATCATTTTTCAAATTATTGCCACCAAATATTATCACCCTGTATTGTTTTTTAAAAAAATTAAATAAAAAAAGAATATGCATGCATGTATGTATAAAAAATATGCATGTCAAAAAACGACGGTACGTAGATCCTTTAAATTCTGAATAACGTAGTCCTCATTCCCAACATGTCCACGTGGAAGCCAGAATTTTGATTTTTTTGATTATTTTTTATTTCATAATTTGAAAAACTTTAATGAATTTTTTATTGACAAATTCAACGATTTGAAAACGAAAGTAAAGGCTTGGATTTACCACTTTTCTTTGAGAACGAAATTTTTAATCGTGCGGGGCAATATAAATTCCTCGACTGTCTGAAACATGTTATTTCAAAATTAATGCACTTAGTTGGGCCGCCTAGCCGGTATAGTGGTTAGTGGTTAGTGACCTGCGTAACGCTAGAGGGCGCTGAGAGCATCATTGAGTGTGCAGTTACTTGATGGAAGGTGTGACGCAGTGGTTATGTGAGATTTCTGAGATTGTGATATTATCATACTCCATTAAATCAATTAATATTTTATTGATTTGTGATTATTGATTGTCGATTTATTCATATTTGATGTGATATTATGTTTTACTGAAGCACCATATATTCGAAACTTAGATTACCACTGAATCTTCATACCACTGATGCGCAGTAACGATGAGCCCGGGCTCGAATCCCGAAGAAGACATGGTTATAACTGTCCGTCCCTTCATAGAAGGCAACGGTGGGCATCTGTTAGGTGCTTCCCTAATGAAATGGCCACCACTTCCGGCCCTTGTAGTGGCTCAAGGCTAATGGCTATTAAATAAAGCGCCCGTCACATTAAAAAAATATACACTTAGTTGGAGTTTTCCAGTCAGTTATATGTTTCAATAAAACCACCAAAACAGACCTCAAGAGTTCACTCGATTTTGATCGTCTGTGAAATGGTCGTCTTAAAAAATATGAGTATCGCTAATGCTCAATACTAATATTTACATATATTTTTAGAACTGTTCTCTTTGGTCACCACGAGAGATTTAATTTTATTCATTGCCGAAATAGTTCATTTGAATAGCGCAAAGCATACGAGGATTATTTACCTAAGGGAAGAGATGCCTCCGTGGAGGACTTCGTAAGGAAATTAGCTCCATTATACATGGAAAGAACCAACCGTGCAGCTAACCCCTTCACCTGGCATCGAACTCAAGTCGGACTACACGCATTCAGCGGTCATATTATTGACGAAATATATGCTGTGTTGGTGCAACTAATCTTAGTAAGTGAGGCCCAATTGTTAAGGTTACAAATTTAATGCTTCTTTATTTAAATATGACAAAGCACATGAGTCTTCTGTGCCTAAGGCGAAAGATTGTTTTTTTCTGAAGGTATCCTTCTTTTTAGGCAGATACCTTATAAGGAAGGTTTTCTAAAAGAAATTGACTCATATTTACGTTACACGTGGAGAATACCTTGGAAACAATACAGTTACAGATTTGACAGACACATAATCATTCTGATTATGTAAGAAAATGTCGCTCCATTTTGCTGAATTTCAGTTTCATTGAAATTATTTAATTTTTTGGTATTTCATATCTTTTAACCTTTTCCCGGGGGTGGGACATATGTGACCCGTACTAAGGATACAGCAACTGGGGGCTCGGGACAGTTTGCCGTTGGTGACAGGGGTAGGAATTCTATCTAGCGCTTGAGGCGATTGATTCATATTTCTATGAATAATATATTAAATAATGATTCTTCGTCAAAATATTTTCATTTTTAAACTAAGCTTTCTTCCGTATGATTATATTCTACAGTATTTTCAAATGGCGTTCTGGTTAACTTTCTTCATGTGACTTCATTTCGCAACCCATTTCTGAACTGCGAAACGCAGTTGAAATAGAAGTTCAGAAATTCTTTCACAAATCGGTCTTTTTGTGGAATTTCCATGTGCTCTAAAGCAGAGCTTTCTTAAACTTTCAGTCGCGACCCCTTTTTATCACTGAGATTTTTTTCGCGACCCCAAGACCCCATTTGCGAAAATTTTGTGGGACCCCCATAAATATTGCGCAAATCTGACACACGCGTGAGTGAAACTGTCAATTTTTTCATTTGCACTGTAATATACTATTGCAGTTCTAGGTCATTAACTTTAATTTATAATTTTAAAGCATAGAACAATGTGAAAATTTTAAATAATTAACAGACGAAATGACAGCGTCACGTGCAAAGCAAGTAAAATGAATGAATGAGTAAAACGTAGTTTTTCTTTCTCGGTATTGTCTTATCTTTATGTATTTTCAGATACATTAATATTTGTAAAAATATTTGGTAATTGTAAAATTATTATATTAATAATTTTAATGAAATATCAAAACTGCTACAATTTTAGCGACCTCTTGCTGCAGGTCCCACGACCCACAGTTTAAGAAACTCTGCTGTAAAGTATATATTAAGAAAACAAGATGGATGAATTATTGGACAGATTGCATGAAACTTT